TAAAACACAATATTTGACAAAACCAATGGTGAGATTTTGAAAATTCTCACTATTGAACAGATTTTCTCACCCTTTGCAAATTCATTCAATGAGTCGGGTCTCCAATAGCAAGTGCCTTGTATACTGCAACTGTAACGTGACCCCTGAAACACAGAATTAAAAAGTTAATGAATTGGTTTTAGCTAATTAGACAAATTACAATGACGATTGTCTCGTAATTTTCTCCGAACCTGAGAAATACATTTTGAATATGGCACCTCTTTAACTCCCACAGAATTTTAAAAATTGTAACTAAAATCGAACACTCTGCATAAAGTTTGCTGATGTGATGATAACTCTCTCCAAGTGAATCTGGCTTGCCCGTGAATGAGGTCGCGCCGCCATGTTGCTCTGGGCAGAAGGTACGACGTAAGGCGATGTGCACGGCTCGTTCGTTCGCTTCAGAGGGATACCCGAGCACGTGTAACGCCGTGCAACAGGAATACAACAAGCATAATTGGCTCCTGTTTCGCACACGAATGTAAAAAAAAAAAATTGCAGTAAGGCTGCATCTTTTCCCATTGCTAGATATAGGCCGCCTGCACTTCATCCAGTTTTTATGTGTTTTCCTTAGTCTTGTCCTGAACCACGAATGTGAGGTAGAGATACATACATCCAGACCGTACATTTTCCTATTTTAGTTAACCGAAAAAAAAAAACACCGATAAACAATCCCTCCATGTCAAAAGATACCAAATCGGTTCAACCCAAAACGTCGATAAACAACCGTATGCGTCAAAAATACCGGCTCGGACAATACCGAAAAGCAACGTTTTCTGAAAATGTTTTCTTCAGCTAAAAGTGTTTTTCGAAATACCCTTCCCTCATAACCGTAAACTCTTGGCTTAAAAAAAAAATCACCGATATTCATTGTTTAAAGTGGTCGTCCGAAACAAATAACCAGTATACATCAATATTAAAAAAAAAATTAACTTAAAAAAAAAACATACCTTAATATTTACGGCTTACCTACGCCTCACCAGCACGCAGTCGCTTCTGTCATCGTCCTTTGCTCTTTTAACACAAAATGTATTTGAGTGCAGGAATCTCCGGATAACGTGGGACGAAACGAAACGGAAAGCATTGCGAAATGTGTAACTCCTACTTTAGAGGTCAATCGGTACAAAATCACACCATGATAAGGAAAAGAATAATAATTGATTCGAAATAAATAACAAAATCTAAACTTAACCTGACTGGAATCGAACCCACGACCCCATGATTACAACCCGGCACACACCCCCACTGCGCATTATCTGTCATAACATATTAAAACACCATACATAAGTACTTTCTGGAGCACATTAAAATGCTCCCATTTCGGTGAGCGCTTTGCAAAAGTCGAGCCTCTCGGGTTTAAAAATCCGGCTTAAAAAGACACTTTACACCTGCTTAACCAGGCAGAAAAAAAAAAAAAACGTACTTATTTCGCATTAGGGTGGGCAAAACGGACGGCCATGCGTGACTGTGCCTAATAACATATGTCGTACCGTAGCCTCCTCTATACGGAGAAAGCCTGGCACATCGACGACGGAGCCATAGGGCGCGCGGCCGCAGGAAAAAGGAGAGGAGGAGCGCGCCGAACGGTGACCAAGATGGTAGCGCAGAGCAGAAAGGGCAGACCTAGACAGCGAGCGCTTGGGTCATGAGCGGCCGCTCCCCGAACCACGCTTGTTTTTGTGTTTTCGTCACCGTCGTTTTCGTACTCTGGGAGAAACGGGCGCGGCGATTCGAAAGGGCGCAGGGAGAAACGGGAAAGGGTGGACGTTGAGTTTCTCCTCTCCACAATAGCGACAAGAAAAGAGAGAGAGAAAAAAAAGATTGTTTCTGCGTTTGGCCGCTCGCTTTTTTGTGGCGCTAGCAGGCAAGGTTCTCTCCGCTCCCGTTTCTCCGCCCCTCCTTTCCCATTTACGGCGGCCGTCTTTTCTCGCGACGCGCCAGGCTTTCTCCGTATAGAGGAGGCTATGGTCGTACGGAACACCATCATCACACGCGTTGCGCGCCAGAAGGGGATACTTGCAAAGAGGAAATAACACGTCTGCTCACTGTTTGAACGCGAACACCGGAGGCCGGCGTTTAGTGTTCGCGTTTGAATAGTGAGTAGAGGCTTTGCGTCACTAATCATTCCCAGCACAGCTCCGTGTTCTGACTCCCACGCGAGCTCTCGCCTCCTCCTCGCGCTCAGTTTCTACACGTATAAAAGAAATTACCAAAAAAGTAACTGCAATGTTCACAACAATTCCTAAATAATGCAACGGAAACACATTTTGTGAATACAGATTTTATCTGAAGGATCACTGTCGGAACCGGTTATAACGAAGTCAACAGGAATCGGTTAAAGGCCGCCGTACAGTTCGCGCTTTCCACTTTTTCTGCGTTTCCTCCTCTCCTGCCCTCCTTTCCTTCCTTCACCGCCCTCCCCCGAGGGAACAACACGGAAAATGGATTACAAGACGCCTCCGTTAATCCGGCCTAACCCACCGAAGAGGGGGCCTGCTGCTTGACCAAAAATCATTTCGCTGCTCAAAAAAAAAAAAAAAAAAAAAAAAAAAAAACGCCGCGGGCAGCGACCGAATGCGCTTTGCCGGATGCGCAACGCTCCGTCCGCCTTGCACAAGCTTGTATGCATTGGACTAACATTTTTCGAAGCGCGGCATGTTTAGTGTAGGTCCTATCATATGGTCCTGAAAGACTTCCCTGTCCGCCACAAGCTAGCCAATAATTCAAGAACATAACGACGGCAGCGCATTCAAACAGTGTAAAATAAAATGTATATAATATTTATAAGAACACCGTTGTCTTCACTGCTTGCCTTTCACATTTTTAGCGCTGCAAATAATCGTAATCAAACTATTTTTATGATTGAAGACCCCTCGTCATGCATTGACCCCAAGATTACGCTTACGAGAAACATGATTCTGCGCGGGAGCGGCTCGAGTCACAGTAAACTTTTTTTTTTTTTTTTTCAACGTGGATTTTGCTTTTTAGTTTAGCTGAGGTAAAACTGGCAGAACACGAATCGCATACTTGGAAGGTATATACCGTCTGAAAACTCATATAGCTGGTTGAGTGAATGCAATACTATCGCATTCGTTGAAGCTTGATTAGTTGATTTGAACTTCAACAAATCACACGCAGCCATTCTCCCTATTTCTGTTTACCCAATCATAGTCGTTCCCTCACGATGCAATACGAGTACAAGTAACGGCAGTTTATGCAATGTTGACGTTGCACAGCCGTGATCGCACGGTTTTTAGAAGCGCTATAGAACCAGCACAAGCGTCGAATTTCGGTACACTGATTGATTTCTGTCTCACCGCCATGACGCCACACGAGAAAAGCGATTTCGTTCTGTCTGTGAAATTAGGAACACAGAAATCAAGCTATAATCCCGGTGATAAAACAAAGCGGAATGGATCTCTGCAGCCAATACCCAACCGTTTGCGAGGTGACTAGACGAAAGCATATATTACCTCCGTGCCTTCACCCTCTGCACACCGCCGGAGAGAGTCATATAAACTCCTTGGAGCTATTGTCAACACGATTTCGTTTGCAAGCCGGTAGTTTGACTTGGCTGGGAGTCGTCCCTTTCATAGCTCTCTATGAAACCAGAAAGGTAGATACTTTTCTACATTGGGTGGGTTTGCCCGGGGCCTCCAGTTATTTCCGGCCAAAATCACACTGGAGGCGCTTCAGCAATGTTCACTCTGGTCGACACACGTGCACTCTAAAAATGCCAGTCGTCTGCCTTCCCAAAAGATACTTGAAGAGCCAATCATAGAGACCGACGGATAACGAGGCCGAAATTATGCTTGTACCTCAAAAAAATTATAACACAAATTTGGCCTCGTCATTCTCAAACTGGTAGCCGGACGAAATTCTCTATGCGTATTGCAAGCCAGGATTGGTAATAGTAACATAAGATACGTACGGCAGAATTCCCTGCCATAAATAAAATGATTTGGCTAACGCCAAAGTAACGCGAAATAGGTGCAAAGAGTTTTGCAAAAGGGGAGCGTAAACCGAAAAAAAGGGAAAAAAAAGACAGAAGAAAAGGAGAAATAAGAAGAAAAAAAATCTCTGGTGACGTGGCCAGAAAAAATTCTGTTCATGTGATTTTTATTGTCACGTGACCGAACAAAAGAAATAAACGAAATAGAAAAAGAACACGAGAAAAAAACCATCCCCTGCCCGGTTTCGAAGCTAGGCCCTCTTGATCGTGAAACTAGCGCGCTATTCGTTGCGCTTAGTTGCACCAACGTAACTTTTTTTTTCTTTCTTTATTGCAAGTTGCGCCAACATAACTCTGCCTGTAATGCTCACGCATTCTCACATCATAGGAGAAAGCTTAGGTGCCTTCGTAGTTTTTCATGTATGTGTTATTTTTATTTGTGGCGAGAGTTCACTTTCCAGAATGCTTTTAGAGTTTTGGAGCAAAACGAGTTTTCTTCATCCGAGTCACCTTCTAGAGCCAGTAGACCGCACTGGGTCCTCCGGCTAATCAAGCAGCCATTTCCAAATTCTCTGACGTGCCCGTCCTCGCATCCGAGGTCACCGTTTGACAAGCTTATCTTCCACCTGGTAGCCGGAACCCCCACGGCAGCTTTGTTCCGTCCCCACTCCCTCTCGAGAGGATGGCTCGCCCCGAGGCTAATCCCATTCTTTAGACGCCCTTTCCACCCAACGCTGGCCCTTTCCCTCCCCGTCCCCCAGCTTCGGGAGAGAAGGTTCTTCCCTGCAGAACGTCCCGTTTGTACAGCGGCCTTTAATCACTTCGCTATATCCGCTATTTCGTTATAACCGAGTTGGGTTATAACGAAGTGCAAAAGGGAATGGGAAATAGTGATCGCTTCGCTGTAGCCGCTATCTCGTTTTAACCGATCTCAGCAGTACACACTTTTTTAATGAACTTTCGTACGTTAAAAAAGATTAGCCGCCCCTTACTTTCTCTTTTTTACAAGGTTCCCTGGGCCTGTTTGAGAGGTGCATGCCGGACCTAGGCTGCTTCCGGAATGGCGGACATTGGTTTCATCTCTTGTACCGGCCCCTGTCTCTGCTACCCGACGACCGGTACCTAGTCAACACCAGCTTCTTGCTCTTCACCCGCAACAACCCGGAGGTGCAGGAGTACCTCCACACCTCTAGTCATCGGGACATGGAAGAGACCTTCTTCAGGCCGTATAAGCCGACGAAACTCATCGTGCACGGCTTCATGGACAACATCATCGTGGGAAACTGGATCTTCGTGAGTATCCTCTGGCAGAAACCAGTGCAACACAAAACAAATCTTAAAGGTAATGTCCGGTCAAATCTTGTGTTCGAGAAAATAATTGATTTTTAATTGTTTTTTTTTTTTTGCCTCGAAACGCATCGTCCATGCATTATGAGAAGTTTTTATGCCCCTCTGCGTGAGTAATTGAATTTTAAACTGCTTCATTCACATGCTAGCGTAAATGGTGACTTCGTTGGCAACATTAAAGCTCTGACGTCACATAACGCAAAGCGAACATTTCCGTCTCGTCGTTTAGCCTCCAAGTGAATGGCGCAGCGTACTTCATTTCTGTTATTGCGCTCGACTTATTTCGTGGATGGGTCGAGCTTTTTGTTGGGCATTTGGATGCCACAACTACCGGGCAGAACCTGCGATCCACGAGACGTACTGCGACGAGCAAAATGAATAGTCACCGTAGGGAGCATAGGGTTCCCGTCAAGATTAAGATCCCATTTATGTAGCAATCATTTCGTAGAAGAGAGCTACGAAATTAACTCTAAGCGGACGGGAGGCACCAAAGCTGAGGTGGGGTGCTGTGGCAACGATATTCAACTGCGTCCACCTACTCCTCGTCCAAATCGGATCAATTCGTTTGATTATGCAGCGAAACTGAAACCAACCACTAGGCCATCTTAAAACGATGCCAGAAGTTATATTTAGCACGCGTGCAGCCCAATCCTGCTTGACACGCGTGGGAAAATGGAGCGCGGCTACGATTCACCGAGCTCGTCCGAGTAAAAAAGTGACGATCTAGAAACGTTACGTGCCTTTTGAACGATTCGCCGCTCGCCTTCGGCCCGCGGACATCGCCTCCGAGGAAACAACCCGCAGCCGCATCACTAATCCAGTGGATCCGCCGATCTGTGGACCCAGCTACCGCTTCAGAGGCAAACTTTGTATCTTTCTCTTTGCAGGCTCTCCTTGTCCAATCGGTGGCGGTCTCAGTTGTGTTGACGCGAAACGACAAAAGTTTATCAAAGCTAATTAACGGCTTTTTCCGACTAATATCCTACTAAAAAGCACGACGTTTTATGGACACGCTTGGAAACTACATTACAAGAAATGGAGACTATACTTTGAAACAAAATGCAAGACATCTATCGAGCAACGCTTGTTGTCTTGACCATCCGACGATCCTCTGCGATTTGTAACGTCACGCAGCAGCTATGAATATCAGCCAGTGACATTGGCGAAAATTGGGGTGCAGTTTCATGCACACACTCATGAAAGGTTTAATTATCACGGGGACAATCATATATAAAAATAAAAATGTATTTTTTTCTATATGAAGACTCCCTCGACATGACGAGCTTAAAAACATAAATGCTTCCGGTTTCAATCGGGCATTCCTTTAACAAAAAGTGAAAGGCACGCGATTACATTGCGTTTCTCAAACCTTGCTTTTTTCTCCCTCAAATTTATTAGCAGAGTTACTCCAGTCGTAGCTTCCGTAGGTTCGTTGGGGCACAAGGTTCTTAAGGGCTGTTTATACTCCAACGTCCACGAACGGAACGCTCGCCGGCGCAAACCGACGTTCGTCGGCCACTCCGCCGCGCCAAGAAGCGCCCGAACGATGGTGTTTACAGTACAGCGTAGACCAACGCTGGTCCAGCGCGCCCCAACGAACTGTCCCACTTCGCGCATGCGCGTCTCCGTGGCAACCGGATCGTCTGTACGGGTTATCTATGGGCGGTAGCTTGCGCCACCTAGCCTAGATGCAATCGGTCAGTGTGGTTCGTCCTCGTGTTGTCATGTCGCGCTTTAAAACAACCACTCGGGGTAGCGGTTAGCAGTTCAAAAACAAGCAAACGAGGGTGATAACGAGTGAAAAACTAGCATTTATTTTCTCGTAAGTCACACAGATGCGAACAAAAAACAGAAAAAAAAAAAAGAAGCTTGATATCGCGTTTGTCGAACCTACCTGCTGCGCAGGTTCGCCGGAATCGTGCCAAGCGACTCCGGCGATTCCGCCGGAATGCTTCGATGAAATCGATGCACTCGATATTCCACAGAAACCTCTTTCTGACAGATAGTCGGTGTGCTGTCATCATTGTAGACTTTCACGCTGACTTAAGGGACGGACACCGAAGAGAGCAGACGATGCCTAAATTACGCAATGTACGCGTTCGAAATTGTAACGCACTTCACAAAGCCTCTACAAACAATACAGGATGCAGTCCAATTGTCATAGCATAGCGCTACTATGTTTTACAAGCTGAGATCGTTTACAAGATGAGACAGCCCAATTGAAAATTTCTGGCCGGCTAAATAGTTCAGAGGTCTCACTGTGTCCGCCGTTCGCGTGCATTCCACGACGCTTTTTCGATCGGGAACCACTGCCGGTGAGTTCGACTAGCACATGATTATAAATAGCAGACACATTAGGCCGTCCTTAATTCTAGTTAACTCTACCTTTGGCGCGTCATCGAGCTTCCAGCTTTTGCCGGCACCCAAAAAACACGGCCCACCTGCTCGTTAGGTCGATAGGCCTATCGAGAATCGAGGGTAGCGCATCCTGGGAGCAGTCCACATCCACGCACACACTCGCCCAGTCAAGCGCACGAACGTGAAATGCGCACCCCAACACGGGAACACGACAACAACATACGACACACAGCAAGAACGACAAGTTCAGATCCCAGAAAGTAGCATCTCGCACACTCCGACTGGCCCCAACAACCGGATTCCCGAGTGAGCTCCGCACTTGCGCGAGGGCTTCTGGGATAGCCTCCGTCGTCGCCGTCGACGTCCAACGTTGAACGTAGACCATGTCCAAGTCCGTCGCAAGCTGCGATGGCGCGCGTCGAGCTGCTCAGCGCGGCGCCGCGTTCAACTTGACGTTGGAGTATAGACACCCGTTCGCAGACAGCGTCAGCAAGCGTGAACGAGCGTGCGCGCTCGTTGACGTTACGACGGAGTATAAACAGCCCTTTAGGGATTCTTCGCAGACCCCTCCGCTAAGCTCTCTGCAAAGAGGAAGCCACTAATGCGCCTGCGCGCCGATGGCCTTGACTGTAGAGTTCAGGGTATCCTAGCGGCCTGCGGAGAGCCGTTGCGGGACGGCGTAAAACACCTACGAAAACTACCTTTTGTCACGACGATCCTCGTCTTTGTGCGTTTGGTATTACCGGCTAAACAAAATTTTGCACGATTGGTCCAGAAATAGTCTGAAAGCCGACGTACTGCGACAACCTCGCAATCAATATTTTTTTTTTTTCGTGGCTTGATTTTTTTAAGGAATACGAAGAGCTGCCCTTAATTAAGAACCAAAAGTGAAACCTTCCCGGAGCTACGTGCTTTGACACAGAAACTTATCTTAATTAAATTGAGCATCTTAGAATTACTTTGGTTTGTCGTAAGTTTTGTCATTATTATTCCCACATAATGAGTTGCAAAAAAAAAGTACGGTAGTTGATATCGCCCCAAGTTATGTAATGACCTAGGATTTTCTTCGATGAGACAAATGTTGCTCCAATGACGGCGGACAGGGTTGCATGGGGTCAACGGTGGGTGGTCCGCCATGTCGCTGTGCTCTCAGGAAATGAAGGACCGCTTTTTGGACACCATGGACTGCAACGTAATCGTGGTGGACTGGCGCGGCGGCAACGTACTTCCGTACACCCAGGCCACCGCCAACTGCAGGGTGGTGGGCGCCGAGATTGCACACCTCGTCAAGACCCTAGAGGTGAGGTCATGTTTGATTCCGCATCACATAATGTTCACGTAGTCACGTGTGATTTTATATCGTCACTGACAGCTTAAAAACGACAAGGTCTGGTATAGGTTCTAGGGTTCTGTGCTTTGGGGTAAATAAAAAAAGAATCCAAAAACAATCGCCGGTGATACTTTTTTTTTTCAATTGGGATTTATCCGAATAAAAATTGAAATTTCGAGGTAACAACGGCAAAGAAAAGAGTTGGTGTTTTTCAAATAGTTTTATAAAAGCGAAAAGTCAGAGGTCCCGAGGAAAAGCCAATTCACTTTCCATTGAATACTTTATCTTCAGACAAAGAGGGGTTTGCTCTTTAGCGTCTCAAAGTTCGTTCAAGAGAACATGTCATGGTACCTCTGGGTCTTCACAAAAGCCATTGTTTAGGTTTCCAGTTTGGACCATGTGCTTCTAGAGGAAGGATCGGGGCGAAGTTTTTATAAGAGTGAAAGCTATGAACCTATAGATTTGATCGAAGTGAGAAGGGAGGGCTGTAGCTTCCAAGGTTACCAGCGACTATGTCTCGGAGTTCGGTTATTTCAAAGTATCGACTATTATTGAAGCAGCAGTTCTTTGGAATATTTGTAGTAGGAGAGTTATTATTGCCAACGGCAAAGGCGCTGATTTCAAATGCAGTTGCGGAAATATCATTCGATACAAGCCAGTTCTGATGAATTATTGTTACGTATGTAACCGAACATTATTATTTTTCTCTTAATTTTGAAAAATTAAGAACACAGTGAAATTAAACCTAAAATGTCAAACAATTTCAAATCATACAAAAACGAACTCCGAAAAACACCCTCCAAATCTCACGAAAAGTAAGCTCCGAAAACGCGTAACCCTATCTACAACGGCCTCAGCATCAACGGTCAAGGACAGCAGGCACCAACGGGCAACTGAGGGACGACCGCGCATCTCTTTGTTTTCTCAATAGTCTCATCTCATGTCACTATAGTGCCTGGTACGCGTCTCCGACTAGTGTGTTTACCGCGTCAAAAAAAAAAAAAAAGTGGCCTCTGGATTTCCGCTTTATGACGTCACGGAAGTGTCACGCTTTCGCCAGTCCCGATCAGGGTGTAAGATAGACAGGTGGGGAAACGGCTCGTAGAAACCTACCGCAGCGCCGTGACCGGATTGTGTACTCGTCTGCTTGCGGGTGGCTTGCGGGTACCCCCGATTTGCGACAGATGGCGCTGCGGCGAGAAGAAAAAAATTGGAATCGAATTCGGATGGAACTCTATGGGAGAGTGCGCAAAATAAACTGAGAGCACGACAGTCCTCCATTGAAAATCTACGAGAAACCTTCTCCATCAGTTTAACCGGTCGCCAGCGTTCGCCCACCTGGAGTGAGAGTTCGCGGTGCTCAACATAGATGGCGCCACAGAAAAAGAGAAAACCGAGGGGGACACAATCCGGTCGCTCATTTGGCTCTCGTTTCACCACCTGTCTATCTTCCACCCTGGTCCCGATCCTGGCGGCGTTCCAACAGCTGTGGTGTATCTGGCAGACGCCTGCTCCACTGTAGGTCGACTTCCGGCGTCGCAGTTCACGGAAGTATGCAGCCGGAAGTTGGGACGCCGCGACGACAGCGACACTCGCGTTCGATCCTGCTTTTCGCCAGCATTTCTACAACCAAACGCCTAGATCGCGACATCCGACAGCAGAGCACTCCGGCTTCTGTGACGTCATTTGTTGCAAGACTTCGGGACCACTTTCGATGTATGGGCTGGGCAGGACGCTAAGCACACAAGTCGGAGACGCGCTCCAGGCACCATACTAATACGGACTTTACCCTCTGTACAGGAAAACGCTCTGTTCACAAACAAATCAGCGTTTCACAAACAAACCAGGGTTTGCAGCAAGACGGCACTCCGCGTGCAAAGAAACATGTCCATGCGAGATGAAGCGTCTGCGCATGCGCACTGCAGACAGCAGTGCCACCGCAGTGACTTGACGCCAGAGCGTTGAGTTGGTTTACAGGCGGATAGAAAGAAAAACGCTGATGCGAGGACAGGCATACCGACACCTCGTAGAGGAGGAAGCCTATAGTGTTGAATTTTCCTGCGTCATTAAAAAAAAACCACTGTCGGCCAGAGATTGGACACGACTAATTGGACAAGTCGTGTCCAGTCAGAAAGAACACGGTTCCTAGCCAAACGCTGACGCCGTAGTAGTAGTGGAGCAGAAAAATTCAACACTTCGGCTTTCTTATCTATAGAGGTATTGGGCAAGAGAGCAGATAATAAATACAGCGCTGGAATCAACGAGCATCTCGGAAGGTTCGCAGGAGTTCCTGCACAAAGTCGGATTAACTAGCCATTGACTTTTCACTCCCCATTTGTTTGATATTGATGTAAGTAGAGACGAAGCAGAAACACGTGTTTGATAATATCTTACAAATTTATAAATATATGCGGCTAGATCTTTTTGCAGACATAACGATGGTCTCGTATTTGTGAAACTGTAACGACCCATTGCGTCTTGCAAAGGGCAGCGCGAGAAGATGGTTATATTTTAACTTGCCTGTCGACAGCAAACGTTTGGCGCGAAGCAAGAGTCTTTCCACTGCATCGGGCACAGCTTGGGGGCACAAATTTGTGGCTACGCCGGAGCACGTTTGCAGGGATTGGGTCGCATCTCAGGTAAGCACGATGGAACCGTACAGGTCCGCCAGGCCGATAACAATGTATAAAAAAATAGTAAAAAATTGTTCCCAAGAAATTTGGAAAAAGGTAACGTAACGTACCCCAGAATTCATAATTTTTATTATACCCTATGTTTTGAAAGAATGTTGCGTGTTTAGATGCCTAGTGAAACTATAGCTACAAATAACAAACGTTGTTCGCAGGAACACCAAATACACCTCGTTTTTTCTAAGAGTGTATTACCTTGTGGCGGTACAACCTGGAAGCTTTCTGGCAGCAATCTACGTTTCAGAAACTCAAATAATTTTTTCATTACAAAAACAAAAAAACCCATTGGTCGCGTAGCAAATCTAGGATGGGCCGTGCAGAGCGTAAGTTCGTCTGCTTTCTTTGCAGGGGTTGCTGTGACGTCAGAACGACGCTGAGCTCTGATTGGCTCAATTGGAAGGATAGGGGGTAGACCTCAATGCTAGATGCCTTTTAGTCTACCCACTATTTTTCCGATCGAGCCAATCAGAGCTCGGCGTTCTGAAGTCACCGCAACCCCTGCTCAAGAAGCAGACGAACGTGCGCTAAGCATAAAATTAGACACTGACAATATAAGAAACGCAGGGCGTAGCGAATCCGGAAGGTCCCGTTAGCCCCATAGGAGACGAGATTGCTGCGCTATTTGATAAGAACAACGAAGAATAAATCAAGAAGCAAGAAGCGTGCGCATCATAGTCCCAGCGTTTATTAAGCTGTCACGAATCTTAAAATGAGCTGTGAGGAAACTCACTTTCCTATGTGAGCAAACTGAGGTGTTGCCTTCGTAGATTAGCGTCAAGCTAGCCATTGAGCGATGGTAAAAAAGGCTGTTTTACGTGTTTAGAATTTGGCATGTAGTCGTAGATCGCTAAAAAAGCGGAACTACCAGCACTTAAAGCCCCCTTGTGCACTGATTACTGTTTCATCAATCGATTCTGCGTTTGTAAGCAGACGCGGAAGATGGCTCTACTGTAGTTTTGCATGTACCGCTTGCATACCATAGCACCTCGGGGAACTGCAGACGTTTGCAACACTCCACCTGCTCTGAGGCTTTGAAGACGTTCCTCTTCAAGTTATTTCGACCAGCTTCGAAGTGGAATTGTGGTTTTCTTTAAGAGCCTGATAACGGTAAACGCATTGGTAAAGGTGCAACCCATACACATGAGCCTCTACTTAAATCTCTTTCAGGCTTAGACCCGGCGGGACCTTTCTTCTACAGAATGCCCCCTGAGGTGAGGCTCGATCCGAGTGATGCCAAGTTTGTCGACGTCATTCACTCTGACGCAAGTATGCCCTACATGCTGATCGAAGGTAACCCACATCTTTTTTCCTTCTCTTTCGCCGGGGACCGTGGAGCACACTCTCTCTTCCAAAATCGACTTTGCGGACAAACGGTAAACGTGTGGCTCTTAAAAAAAGAAAACAAAGAACATCTCAAGCCCTTCGGTGTACGAGATTCAAGGGAGCGGCACTTTTCATGCCCTCGGAAAGGCAGACTTATATCGAGATTGGTGACTACGTTCCATCTCAAATTCACACCTAGCATGTTGAATAAAAATAACCACGGTTTGTAGCAGGTGAAGTAGATGTACCAGCTCAAATATCTGGCGTCGCGTCACTACTGTGACGCCATTTTCGTCACGGTGCTCGCACAGACGCTTCACTTTTCGCAAATCTGCTTTCTGCCCTCGTGCGACGCCCACACCTAATGGGGCCCAAACGAGGGTTTGTCTCTAAGCAGCCTGTTGGTGTATAGCAGGACAAACTCCTCCCAAAAAGCCCTCCTCCCTTTCAACTTTAGCACAGCGAACGCTAAAAAAAAGGCAAGTGGGGAGGAGGAAGCCACCAATCATGGCAAGGAGGGAGTTAGTGGGAGAGCCTTGTCCTGCCTCTCTTACCTTGCAACGGAGTACAGATTATAATAAGCCTCACACTATTCATCGCATTTCCGGTGCGAATGCATATCGTCCGATTTGCCAGGAAAAATCACCGCGTACATTTATCGCTTTATTTTCGTTACTATCACGAATTTTCGTGGTACTCGCCAACAATAGGCACGACATAAAATGAGAAGGAATTGTGGTTCTCGTCGGCCACTGCTTGCCCCAAAATGTCGTTAACACCGAGGTAGTAAGAAAAAAAAACAGTATGCTGCCATCCCTTAGGCAGAGTTTACAGTAGGAAAACTGAGCCACGGTTTTGGAGAGGAGAGGGTGGCTGTGCGCTACTCGATGATATGGGGTCAAGTATTTTCGAATGGGCAGAACTTGTTCGCCTAACACGATGTGAACAATATTTCTCATATTTCCCTCTGGGGATGGTTAACCTGAAGACGCTCTCACACTGGTCATCCGTTCAGTAAAGATATGATGACAGATGACATACACGTGCGAAGCAGCGTGCTGCAGCTTAAAAGATAAATCAGAGAGACTAAAGACGCTATAAATATCTGCCGTAAGACACTTAAGAGAGTGAGCCGTCTTTTCAGAAGTTGTTTGATTACTTAGAAGTACTTTGGAGGAGCACCGAAATTATTTTTGAAGCTCTTCCTTCTCAGCTTTTCTCCTCAACTCAAGGTCTAAATGACAAATCTTTGAACGTGACGTGGTATTTTACCGGATGTGATGACTTCAAACATCCACCGTACTTTTTTAAGCCCACCATATAACTTCTATTTAGCCGACGATGATAAGTGCCGTCACGGCACTCATTGGTCACGAACGCGTATCCAAATATTCGTCGACGGATTGATTGTTGACGAGTGCATACGTCGGAGCGACGCAGTGCTCGTGTCCAAAAAGTCAGCTGGGTTCGGCTGACGTGCTCGGACAGTGAGGATGCATCACAGTGAAAATGCGGACAGATTTCGAAGGAAAGGAAGCACGCAATAGTGCGCTGTCTTTTCGAGCTTTCGTACCAAAAAACAGACGTTTTACTTGCTATTCCATTTATTTTGGCGCACTAATTGACATGCGATTAATTAAATTCAAATCTAAAGTTATTTACCCCTGCCCAAAATGAATTTCACGACTTTTCGAATAAACGAGGAACTTGGTCCAGTTTATGAAGTCATTTCACAAGGACTATCAAAGCTGCGGCAGCGCTTGTACAGTAAACGGAGGATGGCTTGTAGTCATCTGCCATACAAGGTTTAATCCTTGGTCGAGGAAAAGGTATTGTCGTACTAAACCAGTTTGTTTTTAGGATTTGGAGTGAACGAAATGGTGGGCCATGTCGACTTCTACCCAAACAATGGAAACAATCAGCCGGGCTGCCAGAAGTACAACTTCAGGAAGTTTGTGGACAAGGGAGGCCTTATCGACGGTAGGACATCCAGACTTTTGCTGTCTTAGCGAAAGAAGACCCTACAGCGAGCAGAGTGGTTTAGTTTGGAAGTAAAGCTTCGATCCATCAGTCGGGAATGCAGCGGTTGCCCAGGTTCCTGTGTCATGTTTCTAGACATGTTCAAGCTTGCTTGAATCCTGTACAACTATAGCCGGTCACAGGTGAAGAGTTCAGGGCGAGGGAAAGGAAAGCTGGGGAGGAAGAAACATGCGGAATGGTGGAGAGAGGTATGCTTCCTTCTCTGCTCTGCAGCAAACCATCTGCTTCCTCCTCCCCAGCCTTATTTTTCCTCGCCTTGAACTCTTAACGTGTCACCGACTATTGTGTTTAGAAGTTTCAAATAAAAAAAAAAGATTAGCATACAGTTCGATTTATATACTTCGGCGTCCACAGGCGAGCTCAGTTCAGAATACTACCTTTTCTAAAATAGTCTTGCGCTTACTCGAATTCGCCACTTGCGCACAATCTTTTTACTAAAGGCATGAACAGGGTCAAGGTAGCTAAATTATCAATGTCCGAAACCCACGCGATTAATTTAGCCTCCAAGCGAACGTCAAACATTTGGCACCGGGTAAGCACTTTTGAGCCGAACGTGTCCACTTCAAGTACATTTTGTTTTAGCTTGGGGCGGTATTCAAATCGACCGGCTGAGAGAGAGAGAGAACTTTTATTAAAACCGCCCATGTCAGGGCAGTAGTTACTAGAGGGTGGGGCCTTCCGGAAAGGCTTGGCGGCTCAGGTCGCAGCTTGTAGGAGTGTTGTTGAAGTCCAGGCGTCTCGCACATGGGAGATGTGCTGCGCTAGGCGAGACCAGGGGGCAGGGCGGAGGTCTAAGGGGGTGTGGCCCAGCTCTCCCAGGTAAAAGGCATGTGGGAAGGGAGGAGATGTGGAAGGACAAAGTAGGGAAATTGTTGGGCGCGTGGACAAGACCAGTAGGTGAGAGAATAGGGAGTTCCCGTAGAACGTTTTCTCACCTCTCCTACGCTCTCCGGAACAAAGACCCCACCTACTACTGCGCATGCGTAGCGCTAGCCTTGCCTGCGGTGTCCCGGATTTCGTAGCGGGTTGCAGAGAACCGTTGCGGGACGGCGGAAACGATCTGCGAAAAGTCCTTAATCAGTGGCCGAAGCGTGTTAACAAAACCGCAGCGCGAAGCATGTGAAACTGAAGCTAGCGCTTCAGAACCCAGGAATCATTCGTTTAATTCCCACCCCTTCCAGTTTCATCAGGATGTGTATCGTACCGACGTGCGGTCGTGTGTCACCACTGTGTGATGCGAGTTAAATACGATAGACTAGCAGTGGTACAACACTGATTAAGTTTCTCATATACAGCGGCGACACCAGGCGCCCATATGGGGCTGACTAATTTCTCACTGTTTAAACAAACACACCACACAACTACCGATCAGCGGAGCATCGAATCTACACGATACTATAGTCACCCATCCGCACACACCTAAACATATTGGCGAAAATTCGGGTGCTCCTATATGGAAGTTGTGCTTGAAAATCGCCCCCAAAATATAGTCAAAAGACGTAAGGCGCTTTTTTTTTCTTTTCTGCTAGTGCGTTTTACAGTGGAGATATTTATGGCTAGGGTTCCGCGGAGTTTCGTGTGCGTGACCAAAACCTGTACGCTCGCACCGCCGCACGCGCGCGCACGCCTTCCCCGTATAAAAGATTCGAAGTAAATAACCAAAATAAATCGTTGACGAACACGCGTGCAAGATGCCATTTGTTTTAGACTTTTGCTTTAGAACGGTTCCTGCTGCAGACGCCGGCACGCGGCGCCTGGAACGCCATTAACTGCATTCTCCTTGATGCTTGGGTAATTTAGGAATAGGTCTATTCAGTAGAATATTTAACAGTAGGCACCATGTTCAAGGTCAGTAGACTCTCAGGTAGATAATAAAGGTTTCTCAAATATTTGCGGCTATTCGACCCGCGTCGTCCATGTATACGCTCACATTGCCCTCTCTTTGTCGTCGTTCCAAGCGCTTGCGTGCCTAGTTTCCTTTCCTTCCGCTCTCCCGGGGTGGCGGTCCCGTCGCGCGTGTCCAGTTTCCTCCGGCTCCTTGGGGCGGCTCTGTGTCGTGTGCTAAACAACTTCGCTGGTCATCCAGCTGGAAAAAGTGGAATGGCTGATGTTTTTTGTTTTTTGTTTTTTAATTGCGCGCAGGAGTTCGTCGTTTTAGTTCCTGCGATCACATCCGCTCACTCGACTTCTACATGGAGTCCATCACGAATGACATGGGTTGTCTGCCGGTGGCCGTGTCCTGTTCGTCCTGGGAGGACTTCGAAGCTGGACGCTGTTCCAAGTGCGGGTCCAGGGGCTCCGACTGCGCTGTCATGGGGTTCTACTCTGACAGGATGAGAACTGGACACACGAACCAGCGAATGGGCAAGAAACTCTACCTCAAAACCAACGACGAGCATCCATTTTGTTGTACGTTGTATTTGACACTTACGTTTTAGTCGAGTCATTTGCAGAGAGTTTCAGTAGATCGTTCCGATGACTTCCATAAGAGTACCCGATACCCCGCTGCGGCCTTCAAACAATCATCGTATCGTTATTGGGGGTATCAGAAGTATCGGAACGACCTACGAAATCTGTTGTAATTAGCTAAATATTTAGCTAATTTTGACTAATTAACGTTTTTACTGGGGAAACTAAACATATGGTTCCTATTAAAAACTTACAGAGCGTCATCGTAGACCCCTAAATTAGTCAATATTAGGAAGCCTGAAAGCACGTGTGATCGTCGAAAGTGCGCCAAAAACTCACCACTGGCGCCACAGGCACAAGGCTGGAAATGCAAAAAACGCCGATTACAACGAAGATCATGCGCGTTGGTGATTTTCCTTGTCATCATATAGTGGGAACTTAAGCGCGCCGTCACGCTTCACACGTGGTTTAATGTCTTCCTAGAATTAAATGATTTAGAGGTTTTTAACGATGCTCAGCAAATTTCGAGTTAAAACCATACGTTTATTTTCGCTACTTAGGTTAAAAAAATACTAACACTCCCCCTCTTTTTGACAGGCGATTTTTTATGGTTTAAAGGGGCACTCAAGTGGTTTTTGAGTTCGTGTTTTGATGATGACAACTGAATCTAGACGCCCTCAGTATCCCTAAAAAACAAAAAAAAAATGTAGTCATGTGGTGATTATTTCTTTAATAAAAATGTAATTGAAGGCTGCCGAACCTCCGAATCCATCCGAAAACGAAACCACTGTCATTGGTCACCGCTCGCATATCAAAACAATCTCGGGCCAATGGCGTTGGACGACGTTTCGTCGCGCAGTGATCCCGAGGGAGCCGCACCGGCCGTACCTCTGTCATTCAAGCTTTGATCATGGCGGAGTTCTCTACGCTCGAGGGCCTGACGCCGTTAGAGGTTGAAAGTTTTCAGCGGACAGCTGACCTGGGGTTGATTTCCTATGACGCCACTCCGACGTGCGATGTGGACGATAGCAGCGCTTCGGAGTCATGTTCGGGTTCCGAGGACAACGAAACGCAGACCTTTTCGGGCGTTCTTCGATTTGCGGTTGGGGCAAGCCGTAACCAAACAAACGTTTGGCATCGCAGCGTTACCTCTGGTACGTGATGTCAAACGATGTCGCCACGTTGACTTTCGCCTCTGGAGGACGGCAGGCTGGTTCAGACATGTGCAACGAGCGCGTTGCCTACGACTGCGTCCGTTGCAACCGGAGTGACCGGAACGACCACTCTGCGCCGCGCGTACACACACCCGCAACCACTGCAACAAGCGCAGCGGGTCGGCAGCATGGCGATTGCTTCTACGCCGCCGTCAGCTGTTTCAGCGGCGCCTCTAAAAAGGGGCGCACTGCCACTCAATGCCATAACAGAATGTAGACAGACAGTTTTCTATAGCCTAAAGCTTTATTTTTTTTTTTCATGATAGGCTTACAGGGTACAGTGGATGAAAGAAAAGAAAAAAAAATATTCAATACGCCATCTTGGACGATCACGACTCTAATACACGACTTTGCCAATAGTACAAATATCGCCACACGCCTTTTCTACGATTATAAATGATTTAACCTTAGCAGCGATACAGCAACTTAGAAATACAATTTCGTGATCAGATAGACGTTGCGAGCGTTCAGGAGTCCTAACACTAATCACTTTTTTCCGGTGATGAAAACGAGTGGAAATTCGCATCCTTTATACGGTAAGCGCCAGTAATACCTTGAACTTGAGCGAACGCATGAAATGCGTCAAATAAGAAATCCGGGCGTTGTTCGAGGAAACACTTGTGCAGCCACGACATCGCCGCACAAGCTGGTGGATTTTCCCTTCTAGTACGTGCTGGGTTATAGCGACACACGACGGAAATTCACAGTCAAGGATAGCGCTTTTACGCGGAACGATGAGGTTTCACCACGCCGTCCACGTCGACGATCACCACCGACGACATGCTTGAATCGCGAGTTCATGATACGTGCGCTTCCGCGCATCCCGAGGGAATGGGAAATTCACCACCCGCGGAGGAAGGCAAGGAGAAAACGTAGTCCCTTGTTTGTGAAACGAGAATTGCGGCATCGCGTATTCTAAACTAGAAATATTCAACGTCTTGTGAAATTATCATGCACAACATATCTAAATGAACTGAAAATTGTTTCTTTAGCAAAACTTTACAAAGGCCGCCAAAATTTTCAAACATACGATAATTTCATTGGTCGGCGCAGGAACAGAAAAGAGTCCGCACGTATTTTATTCCTGCGTGATTAATAGGCGGTTCTTCCTTATAAAACCGAAGATACTCATTCACTGACACTTCCTTAACGCCATCGCACCAAAAAGTAGCTTCCCCAAAACCCCACCTGAGTGCCCCGTTAAGAAGACTGCTGAATTAATATTTTGCTACAGTGTGACGTATATTTAAAAAAACAAGCAAAAAAAAAAGAAAAGAAAAATGGAAGCCGTTTACAACTGCCTGTAACGGCGATTTAGAGCGCAGCCCTTGAGGAGGAGGAGGAGAAGGGTTACGAGGGAAAGGTATATCCTTCCTCCCTCCTCCTCACCTCCTCATCGTGCCTGCTACTGCTCCCTCCGAGCGGCGTCGCCGTCGGCGTAACCGTGAGGTCACGCGACGTCGCGTGACCCTCGTGACCTCGCGGGAGTCACGTGACCTAACGGGGGTCACGTGACCTCGCGGTTACGCCGACCACGACGCCGCTCAAACCGGAAACGGGCGCCTAAGAGCTGCGCTATTAAAAACAACTGCTCGAAACCGGAATTCAAACTGAACTGGAAAGGGAGAAGAAATGTAGAGGAGGAGAGCGTTGCCGGAAATCACGTAACTAAACCCAACCACGTTTCTCTTTTTTTTCTCCTACAGTGCGATGCAGACAAAAAAGGCGCACTTCGCACGTTTTTAAGCTCTTACCAATTCGTGTTTGAAAGGCGAACGATGTCTTCAGCCAGGAGAATGGGCAACGACTGTGTCGAACGGAGTAAATCCTAATTGTTTTGATCGGTAAACGATTTCTCTACTGAAGTTAAGGCCCGTTCACACTCTTGCGACCGAGTACGACTGAGAGAGACGAGATCTCTTACAACTTCTTAAATGTTTCTAGAGTGAGGGAACACACTGACATTGTGGCGCCATCTATGCGGTGACCCTAGAACTGCATTTCACAAAAGCGAAGGTTTTGCGGGATTTTCGAGGTCAAATGTGCGTAATACCCATAGAAAGGCTCGTTTATAACATTGACAAAAGTGTTTCGAGCCAAGAAAGAAAGGATAATGCGCGAGAAATAAAAAAAAAAAATATGCCGGACCGCCGAGTTTACACTGCTTCCCAATAGATGGCGCCAGTGTGTTCTCTGGTTTAAGAAGTTTTAAGGAACCCAGGTTTAAGAGGTCGCAAGCAGTCGCAAGAGTGTGAATGGGCCTTTAGAAAGATTCTCCGGCGCCGCGAACAAACGGTTGTGAAGTAGAGGTCCCACGCCCGTGGTCCACCGCCATCGCTTAGCCCGCTTCGTTCAGTCGTCCAGCCCGCGACTCCAGCTATTTGACGCCACGCTGAGAATTACACAGAGAACACAAAGGGTGCTTCTGGTTCTCTGTGCAATTCGTTTTTAATCAGCGTATTTGCTGCTTTTTAGAAGACACAAAGAAAATGGGTATCATATTTCCTTTCTATTTTTAATACTGAGTGTTCTTTCGATGATCCACGTCTTTAAATACATTTAGTGGTTCTGTCTAAATCGTAGATAACGGCACGTAACTACAAAGAAGAGAGTGAGCGGGACTCAAACCGGCCAGTTTTCGTTCGACGGTTTTCAGACGAAAGAAAACAAATTTCGAGCAGCAAATTGTGTTCTGGGTGGTTGGGCTCTTTTAATTTATTTAAAAAAAAAACAACAAAAAACCTTGGCGAGCCTAAATACTGCGTTAGTGTCCCTTCAAAAGAGGTTAGTTAGTGATTTTGTTTTGTACAAACTAACTGCACTCTAAGAAATGCCTGCACCTCTAATTACCCGCAAAACACTCAAAGAGCCAATCATTGTGATCTAGGAAATCAGCTCAGCGAATGATGAGGCGAAACATCCGTTTAGACCTAAAAATGAAGTCTGCGTTGTGACGTTACGCAACGCAAAGCGCCATGATTGCATCGCATAATGCCACAGCGCAGGCTTAATTTTAAGGTCTAAACAGATGTTCCGCCTCATCGTTCGAAGAGCTGATTTCGTAGATCGCAGAGATTGGCTCTATGAGTGTTTTGCGGGCAAGTAGATTGGCAGGCATTTCTTAGAGTGTAGTGCGCAACGAAGTGTAGCGCAGGTTAGTAACTTCAAACTTGCATCATTGACATTCTACTCTCCAACATGGGGACTTGCACAGCAGTGTCCGTTAAGATTCTCTATTCAAAGAGCAGTTCATTCTTCCGGTGGTTCCTGCGTGATGACGACAGACTCGTCGAATTGCCGTGTTATGCTTCTGGTTTCAAGGGTGAATAAAGTAGTTTGAAAGGTTTCGAAACACCTTGAAATGTCCGTGATGGCTAAAATCAGCCGCACATAAACTTGCTGAACGGTGTGAGCGCACAATATGTTTTCGTTGCAGTGCACCAGTACCACGTTGCCGTACAGATGTCGAAGACACCGAAGCGTGCAGTTTGGGACGCCTTCGGAGAACTGTTCCTTCACTTGAACGGAAAGTTTTATGTCAGGCTTAGCAAGAGGTGGGTGCTCAAATTATGAGGAAACGTTTGCGGCTGTTACTAATTGAGTAAAAATTCACATGAAAAAACGACTTACTGCGAGGTAAAAATCTTTTAAAAAAAAAAACCCAGGTCCTTAACTCGAAGCAATTACTACAGTAACTGATAACCTAAAAAACGTGGGGCGCGGCTTATGTTCACGCTTATTGCTTCGCAATCGACCCAGCGTTCTTTTATTAAGGATATTCTTATTAATATTTATATTCTTATTTTTATTTGATTAATATTTTCATGGCTGATGCCTGAATTTCACTGGCCATAGGGATGTAAGAGTCACGGGACTGATCACGCCTTGTGTTTCTTAAGCTGGGAGTGACTGCACGCAGTTGTTCGATGAGCTGCTCGCATGTAAGCGTGATTTTTTTCTTTTGTTGACCGCCTTAGCGCAACTATTTTCCTCCATATTTATTTTTTTTGAACATGTTTATTAGGTTTACACAGACTGACATTTTCCCCATTCTTCAAGTCATCGCTAAACCTCTTAGAGTAAACCTATAAAAAAAACTAAGTTCTGTCTCGAGAAAATCGCTCCGTAGTTTTTGGGGAGCTTTAAATTCGTTTTCATAAGATTGCGTTATAAATAGGGTTCCGTGTTTTCGGATAAATTCGAAAAAAATCTGAAAAAAAAACAAAAAACTCGTTGGTAAAATGTTTGTCAATTTAAATTTATCAAGAAAACTCCGAACTTTAATGCTACAATAATGAATAATAATAAAACAAAGAAAACACGATGTTCTACAAATGAAATTTGTCAAGGTCAGTAGTCCCCCCTTAGAGGGGCCTCACCAGTTTAATTTCAAATCTCTTGGCAAAAGGGAGTCCACCGTTTCCCTCGCTATGTTTTGTTCAGGACAACGGGTCCTTGTAATTTGGGGTCACGACAGAAACCTCTGTTCTAGTTTTCAGTTTAAACCAGTTTAAACGTCTTTGAGGAAGGCGGGGTAGTGTTTGTTATACCAGTGAAAGCTTTGACCACAGGAGGAAGGGGGGCAGCTAAAGGTTTTATCTCGCCGCTGCGCCCCGCTCAGCCGCATGATGAAGCGTAGGAAGGGACTGCGAAGAAAACGAGCTTTTCTGAGACTACGTGAAGGATTTCAGTGACTTTCCAAATATCGATGATACTTAATTCCACGTTTTGTTGCGGGACACTTAGTACAACTTATGCCAAGGACGACATGCCCAATCTTGCTGAAGAAATATCATTCGACACAGCCGGGTTCCTACGAATTTAGGACAGGTTTGTGCCAAATAGCAGACGTTTCTTATATTGAAGCTTGAAGCAAGCTTGAAGCGGCAAAATTAAATTCCGAATTTCAAAGAATCCAAAATGTAGCATAAACAAACTTCTATCAACTCCGAATTTTCAGCAAAAAAATAACCTCCAAGAAGACCCTCCGAATTTCACGAGAAATAAATTTCGGAAACACGGAATCCTAGTTCTAAACAACGTAGAGGCAAATCACTGCGAAGATGTTTTTTTCAAAAGGGAACGCCAGCGACGCACACTGCAGCAATATCTAGCGAATCACGCGGCGTATTTCTGAGCGACATTACGCTGCAGGCCCCAGGACATACGCGGGGGCCGCATGTACAGCTACTACGTGGCAACCCAAGAAGAGGTCAGCGATGCGAACTCGCTTGGACTGGAGTGGACCAATCGAGACCCAGAAGTGGACAACCGGCTCTTTGTCCACTCCGTCAAGCTCAGACCGTTCGACAGCTTCTTCAAACGGTACATAATGCCTTATACTCAAACTGTGTTTGCTACTCGAGGGCTTGGCGTCTCCGTGCTCGTCATTTATTTGTTATCTTGTTTTTCCGCCAGGGGCAAAGCGCTGAGACACACCTTGTACTGCGCCAACAAGACCCAGGCACTGGCTTCTGGTGAAGAGATATTTCTGCAAGAAACTACGTCCTGCCCAGAGTTTTAGTGACGTGAACAGTCGCGTGGCCACACCGCGTTTATCTAGATACTCTGAGTACTGTACCATAACTTGCGCTCGAAAACTCGATAGTTGAGTTTTATTAGGCTTCTGTACACCGTAGGTCCAGACGTGTAGAGAGGAGTTACAGATTTACAAACACGGAAATGATGCATGGTGGCCAACGAAGACTTACAGCGGTGTATTTCGAAGACTTTACATATCTTTCTTTTGTTTTGGGGAAAAACAGGTAAAACTCAAATGGCGTTCGGTAATGCTTCTTACGGCGTCACCGAATCATTGCATGTGATCTGTTTGATGCGTGTGTTTATGTGTGTGTGTGTGTGTGGCTCCTAAGTGCTGAAAAGCTCTGGCAGGTTGAGGATCATCGAGCATCCAGACAGGAAGGTTATGCGGTATCATACTGATGAACAGTGAATGTTCCGACCATTTTTTTCTCATATATCTGGAGTGTGAAATGTGACCTGTCTCATTATGTCTGTGAGTTTGCTTCCGTTATGGGTATCATTGCCAATGAGGCGTGATTATTGCGGCGCAATTCAGTAGACAATCATTGGTGTTTTTTTTTTATTAATTATTGCCTATGTTTCCGGCGCTATTTAATACTGGAAGGCATGAGGGCGTTTCGTGGCACATTTGTGATACCGACCCTTTCATTAATGTTGCTTGAGGTAACATCTGGTCAACTCTCGTCCGTGCTGGTCCACTAACCATTTTGAGAAAACATGCCGTTTAGCCTATTGTACTGTAACTTTGTTATCTCACTCGTCACCGTTGTTAGTCACTTTCCTTGACGTCCATCCTTAGTGTGTGTTAAATAAACGTTGTACATATGATTTGTTGCTACTCCCTTTACAATAAAATCTGACATGTTTTAACATAGTTTTAAATCAGTATGTAGGAAATAGTGTCTTATGAATTCCTCTACCGATGTTACCTAAACTGTTGGTATCAACTGGTGCCGTAAGTCTTTTGTTTAAAATATTTTGGCATAATATAGTTAGAATGAAAAACTTTAAACCACCGTAAGATAGAATAGCACGTAAGTAGTTTCATTTTGTTTTTAATTTTTGGTTTAGTATAACCATAATTTATATGGTTAAGCGTAGAGAAAACAAGAAGTGGCAGTCAAAACCTCTCGACGAATTTAAAAGGTTAAAAAGCGCAACACAACAAGGACAATAAAGACACAAAGACGACAGGACGGGCGCTAACTCACAACTGATTTTATTAGAAACAACACTGTCACTTTTATACACAAGATCGTATGCCAAACCCACACTGCAACCAATCAACACTCTCACAAGCAGCTATCTAGAAACATTACTTCTTTCTGAAGCAAAAAGAGAGAAAGCGTGCTAACGCATTTGTCATCTTTCTTTTTGATATAAAACGCCTCTATAATCTCTCTCTCAGTCTTATCTTTTTTTATTTCTTTAAAATCTTGTGTATAAAAGTGACAGTGTTGTTTCTAATAAAATCAGTTGTGAGTTAGCGCCCGTCCTGTCGTCTTTGTGTCTCTATTGTCCTTGTTGTGTTGCGCTTTTTAACCTTTTAAATCAGTATGAACCAACTCGTACAAAACACAAGTTTTAACTCTTGACGAAATTCGTGATTCCACCAATTTTTGTTTCTGGGAAACGACACTGGTCCCTTTTTTGTTCTGTTCCCAACTGTAAATGCTAAAACAATCGACAACTAAACTGCAAAGGACCAGATTACTCATCACTCATGCTATTTGTAGTAACAGCTCCGATCATCCTGGTGAAAAATGAAGGACCTTGCACCGCCCATTCTACTAACTGGTTGATGGACTCTAAGAAACAATTTGCCCACCTATCTGGGTCAAAGTTGCCGCTGCGTTTGAGTCTCTTCCCGGTCGTTCGTCCTCCATCTTGAAAGACGTTCAAGGTGACGCGTCCGGGAGCATTACCTTGAGCCTGCTTCGCGAGTCATTTTTAGACTGACAAGTTCAAGTGACCCTTCGGCAGGAGGAGGTATTCTCGTCCCCGGAGCAAAAGAATTGGTTACGCATGAGACCATTGACAAATTGCACACAAAAATGCATTAGAAGAAATCAGAATTAAAAATTTTACTAAAAGTGATTTGCAAAATAAATGTGCGCAAGCAATCGTACTTTTTTTTTTTTTTTTGTTTAGTCTTGTCCGTACGGCGTCCGTGCTCACATCGATCTTGCTGGTGCTCGTGCTCGTGTTCCTGAGCTCACGTGCTCATGTAGGGCAAAAAATAAAACAAAATATAAAAAATGATGGAAAAAAAAATGTTTGCGCAGTTGACAGGATTCAAACCTGCGCGGGGAGACCCCAATGTGTTTCTGGTCCATCGCCTTAACCACTCGGCCACGACTGCGGGACGAGTAGGGGGCTCAGAGATGTGGTAGTAACTCGAGAGCTGGGGATGTCATGGATGAAACGTTACATGTATACCCGCTCAACGTCTATACAGGAGAGGGCGCTGCGGTCAAATGCGTATATGATCGCGTTAAACTTTGCATGCATTGGCTCAACGTTTATAGACGAGATGGCGCTGCGGTCAAATGCTCAAATGAGTATATAACCACATTCCATACCACACATTCTCTTTCTGACATGGATGAAAACGAACGAAAGGCTCGGCATGCTGCGGCTCAGCATCTACGCAGACAAGCACCACCAGAGCTTCGGCCCCATCAACATCGTTCACCATGCGGAGATGCGGTTAATATTTTTATATAGTTAGGAAACACCTTAACCGAGATTTCGTGAAAATACTTTACTTTTTCTAGAGTATAGAGCAGGGGTGAGAAAACGGAGACTCGGGACTCCCTAGTAAACGCGACTTCTTGGCATGCTCATTTGCATCGCTGTTCAAGACGGGATATGCCTTCCTTTATTTGTCATGGCTTCATGAGACTGTCACTAGCTACTGCACCAATGCCATTCCAGCCGAACTTTCAAGGCACTTCACTCCGTCATGGGGACACACATTAAATAAGCATAATTAGTAATCGCTTCATAACTGGAATTCACCAAGGCCGTCAACTGAGATGAAAGTACTAAAAAACACTGCCATGCCCTTTTTCATTGCGGCCCTTCACTTAAAGCGGTTTTTTGTGGCTCTTTGCATATGTTCGTCTGACCACCCCTGGATTAATGAAAAAATATAAATATTTTCTGTTGCTTTATTTACGTCTAAACATACCAAAATTTTTTAATAAAAGCTGAAAGTTTGGAAAGTGTTTGGGTAGTCAACTCCCGGAAGTTTAAGTTAGCTGAGTTAGCCCAACAAGATTTTACGATGAAACAAAACAAAAAACAGTGACGCAATTTGGGATATTGCAACGTCCGCAGGTGTGACTGCAGTTATGCTGAGTTCCATTAAAAAGTATTTTATACGTTTCGTTACATTATATGCGGTTGGAAACAGAGAGAGAAGAGGAGACAAGAGAGCAGAGCTCTGGATTGATTAGTGACTAGGCACAATAAGCTATCGGCTTTTCACTCTACTCGGTGTTCGAACGCGAAGGTTGAACGGTGGACGCCGGCGTTCGGCGTTCGAACGCGTTTGAACAGTGAATAGAGATGACAGCAGCTATGCACCGAGAAACCGAGAAAGGGAGGGAGACAAATTTTCGCCTGCTTCTTTTGCAGGAATTGCGGTGACGTTAGAACGCCAAGTTCTGTTTGGCTCCGATTGGAAGGGCAGTGGGTGTCCCTCGACGCAGCTATTGGGCAGGATATCGAACTATAGGGGGCGCTCTGACCCCTTTGTTGCCCCCACCCTCGGTGTTTACTCAACGCAAGGCCTGCGCACATGCTAACAGGCCTTATGGGCATGTCCATGTCATCTTCTACAATAGAGCGCGGGGCACAGTTTAGTGTAAAAAATACTAACAATCGACGAAGCGACGTTAAGCGCCGGATCTATCCTCAGAGAATGCGAGCTTGACCCGCTTTTGCGCGGAGCTGGGACCCTGCATGCTGCATTGTTCATGCAGGCCAGGGTGGAAACAAAAGAGCCCCTTCCCCCTCACCGGAGAACACGAACTCCAGCCGAACGCTGACGCCGAGTTCGGTTCTGTCGGCCGAGCGCTGAATCATTGCATATGTTGTCCCCATCCCTTTAGTTCTGAAGTTAACCGCTTGGGGGGTCACGGTCGCTCCTCCTCCCCAATAGCATTTATATCTACCCCCTATCTTCCCACCCGATCCAATCAGAGCTCGGCGTCTTTCTGACGACACTGCAATCCCTGCTCAAGCAGCAGACGAACTTGCTCATCTGCTAATAGCGCCCAAGATTTAACAAATTTTTTTAGGCCTACTGGATGTCGCGGAAGAGTTGGAGGTGAGTGCAAGAATGAAATTTTTGGCCTTCTAGATTTAAAAAAAACACCTTTCTATCTAGTGTTGCATAAATACCTGCAAAATCGAGTTCTATGGCGGCAAATGCTTTTAAAAAAATTACTAGGCTGCTGATTTCAGCAGAAGTGCCCTACTACAGATGAGCAGGGTGCAGGATTTTTGGTGTTCGTAAGAAAAAAATAATATATGCAAACATTTTGTTCCATGTTCATTTTTTTTTTCTTCTAAACATTGGTGGATTTTGGTACTGTTTTTCGTATATTTTTTGTACGTAATTAGTAATATTTCTAATTTCTAAACTTTTTTTTAACATTCCGAGCTTAGCACGATGCGGCAGTGCTCGTACTCAAGGACAAGTCCGACTGCACACCAAAGTCCGGGCGATCTTGTGTGACATCTAAAATAGACTTGTCCTCAAGCAAAATGTTTCCGAAACGAGGAAGGCAAGTTGTTCTTGCATTAATTAAACATGAAACGATAACGACTGCTAGCAGAAGCTACATCGTTCAGCTGTTATCTGAACAAAACAAAGACCTTGTGACGCTTTATGGTGAATGACTGATTGACGCAACTCACGACACTGCTCTGAAAAGTTTCTGATTCTAACGATTTACGACTGGCAGAGTG